TCTTATTTCCCAGTTGCATGTGAAAACATTTTTTTAAACAGGTGTTTTTAAAACTTTGGGTTCCAAATTTTCTCCCCTCCTCCCTCCCCACCCACCCTCATTGATAAGGCAAGCAACTAAATATAGGTTATATATGTGCAGTTATGCAAAACACTTCCATAGTAGACATGCTGTGAAAAACTAACTCTATTTCCCTTAATTCTGTCCCACTCCCCCATTTATTCTATTCTTTCTTTTGACCCTGTCCCTCCTCAGAAGTATTTGCTTCTGATTACCCCCTTTCCCAATCTGCCTTCCTCTCCATTATCCCCCTACTCTCTTGTTCCCTTGTCCCCCTATTTTCCTATAGGGTAAGACAGATTTCCATACCCAATTGAGTGTGTATGTTATTCCCTCCTTAAGTCAAATTCTATGACAATAAGATTCACTCATTCCCTCTCACCTTCCCCCGTTTCCCCTCCACTGTAAGAGCGTTTTCTTTTCTGTTTTTTTTGTGAGATAATTTACCCCATGCTACCTCTCCCTTTCTTCTTCTCCTAGTATCATCCTCTCTCACCCTTTAATTTTATTCTCCAGATCAACTCACCCTGTGCCCTCTATCTATCTATTTATCTATCTATCTATCTTTCTATCTATGTACAGACATATAATTTTTTTCCCTGCAACTACCCTAATACTGACAAAGGTCTCATGAGTTACACATATCATCTTTCCATGCAGGAATGTAAACAGTTCAACCTTAGTAAGTCTTTTATGATTTCTCTTTCCTGTTTACCTCTTCATGTTCCACTTGAGTCTTGTATTGGAAAGTCACATTTTCTATTCAGCTTTTTATATACTCATTCATCAAGAATGTTTGAAAGTCCTCTATTTCACTGAATGACCATTTTTTCCCCTGCAAGATTATACTCAGTTTTGCTGGGTAGGTGATTCTTGGTTGTAATCCTATCTCCTTTGCCCTCCGGAATATTATGTTCCATGCCCTGCGGTCCCTTAATGTAGAAGCAACTAAATCTTGTGTTATCCTGATTGTGTTTCCACAATCCTTGAATTGTTTCTTTCTGGCTACTTGCAATATTTTCTCCTTGACCTGGGAACTCTGGGATTTGGCTACAATATTCCTAGGAGTTTTCCTTTGGGGATCTCTTTCAGGAGGAGATTGGTGGATTCTTTCAATTTCTATTTTGCCCTCTGGTTCTAAAATATAAGGGCAGTTTTCCTTGATAATTTCTTGAAAGATGATGGCTAGGCTCTTTTTTTGATCATGGCTTTCAGAGAGTCCAATAATTTTCAGATTCTCTCTCCTGGATCTGTTTTCCAGGTCAGTTGTTTTTCCAATGAGATATTTCACATTGTTTTCTAAGTTTTCATTCTTTTGGATTTGTTTTACAGTGTCTTGATTTCTCATAAAGTCACTAGCTTCCAATTGCTCTATTCTAATTTTTAAGGAAGTATTTTCTTCAGTAATCTTTTGAACTTCCTTTTCCATTTGGCCAATTTTGCTTTTTAGGGCATTCTTCTCCTCATTGGCTTTTTGGACCTCTTTTGCCATTTGGGTTAGGCTATTTTTTAAGGTGTTATTTTCTTCAGTATTTTTTTGGGTCTCCTTTAGCAAGCTATTGACTTGTTTTTCATGATTTTCTTGCAAAACTGTCTGTTTTCCCTCTACTTCTCTTACTTGCTTCTCAAAATCCCTTTTGAGCTCTTCCAAGGCCTAGGACTGATTCATATTCTTCTTGGAGGCTTTGGATGTAGGAGCTTTGGCTTCATTGTCTTCTTCTGGTTGTATGTTTTGATCTTCTTTGTCACCAAAGTAAGATAATATAGTCTGACTCTTTTTGCGCTGCTTACTCATGACCCCGGCCAATTACTTGAGTTTTAAACTCTTTGCTAAGGTAAAAGTCTGTTTCCAATGTGGAGAATGTACTGTCCCAAGCTTTGGGGGTTTATACAGCTGTTTTCAGAGATACTTCTAGGGACCTGTAAATTTTCAGTTCTTCCAAGGTGGTATGATAAGGGGCGAGGTGTTTCCTCTCCATCGCCACAACAAGCTCCACGAGGCCAGCGCTCCTCCTCACCCCAGGATCGCCCCTCAGAACTGTGACCCAGATTCAAGCATGGGCAAAGCAAGAGATTCCTGCCTCAGCACTGGCAAAGAGATCCCTGCAATACCCCTCTGATCAGCCACTGGATTCCCCCTCATTCTGTGGGCCGGAAGCTCAGGAAACAGTCGAGGCCCTGGGGGCGGCTGACACCTAGCTGCTTCTCTCACAGCAGTCACAGACTTTTCTCACTGACCTTCTAAGTTGTCTTTGGCGTTCATGGGTTGAGAAGCCTGGAAACCGCCACAGTTGCCCGCGATTCAGTCCTCTAAGGACTGCTTCAGGATCACTGCGGCCTGCATGCTCGCACTGCACTGAGCTCCTCTCCCCACCTGGCGTGATACACCTTTCTGATCAACCATGCAGGCTGTCTTTGGCTGGAAATTTGTTTTGCTCTGTCTTTCTGTGGGTTCTGCTGCTTTAGAATTTGTTTAGAGCCATTTTTTATAGGTATTTGGAGGGGTTTGGGGGGAGAGCTCAAGCAAGTCACTGCTTTCCCTCTGACATCTTGGCTCTGTCCCTGCTTGTTAACTTTTGAACCACATTGTGAGACAAAGTTGTAAAGCAGAATTGAAATGAAACAGGAAACAGATGTTTGAATTTCATTTTCTAGAAAACTTCATTTAAAATCACAAAGTTTTGAACTTATATTTTCTTCTGTTTGGGATGTGAAGGAAAATACATTTATAGTTGTCTTTTGTGTTTGAAAATGATGTTAGTTTATATTAGATGAAAAGAATCTTTAAGTGGTAACAGATTTATATTTCATTATTTTCCCTTGCATGCTTATTGTGTACATGCAGACTGTTATTTGGCTTACAGTCATTCTTTTCAGACAGTTGTTTGTAACTTTGCTTCATAGTCACAAGCTTCTATGGCTTCAAATGAAAAACAATCAAACAGCAAGCATTAAGGGCCTACTATGGGCCAGACATTATTTTAGGTATTAGATATACAAATACCAAAAAACAAAACAACCCCCATTCTCAAGAAACTTACATTATATTGAAGGAGACAACATTTCCATGTATTGAGAAATATTGATTGTATATATAAACAAAATAAATGCATTGTGGTTAAATAGAAGATGGGAAGGATAATAGGAGTTGGGTGAATCAAGAAAAGTTCATGTAGAAGTTGGTGCTTAAACTGAAATTTGAAGGAAGAAGGGGAATCCCTGAGCCTGGGGTAAGGAGAGGGTACATTCTAGGTATGAGGCTGATGGGAGATAGAATGCTGTAGTTGAGGAACAGAAAGAAAGTCGGTTTGCCTGGACCATGGAATGTAGAAATAGACTCTGTTCCTGACTTTCAGACTTCAAAACCATTCCTTAACTTCTATCTTGGAATTACCTGGGGTGGGTCTCCTTGCCCTGGATAATCCAATCATCCCTGTAGACTTCTTAACCCTAGAATATCCTTCTTCCAGGCCCCTTTTCCCAGTGGTGAGTTACTTCCGGAGCTTCCATTTTGTGGAGAAGCCTAAGCTAGCCAGCAATCATTATCCTTTTGGCTCTGATACTCACTTCCAGACTTTAAAATGCTATTAGACTCGGAAATAATGAAGGAACTTGAATCAATCACCCTCACCCCAATTAATGTAACTAACAAGATACTTGTGCCCCAATATCTTCATAACGTGAGAATGCCTCTTTGAGTTTTAGAAACAAAGACATAAAATAGTTGTGGAAAAAGTCCTTAATTAATTTGTAAGGAGTTAAATGCTTGTGCCCATTGGAAAAAATGAATATTTTCTCATTCGATTTCTTGATTATTACTTGAATCAGATGTTTATTTCAGGTTTTCCTTTGGAGGAGTTGAGCAAGCTGTCTCCATTTAGGCATCCATCTTGGCCAGAAATATCCTTGTGCCTACCTTTCTCTAGTCTCTGTTTAAACTTGTAGAAGATTATTTCCCAGACCATTTTGGGGGCATGTGGGGGGATGGTTGTGGTAGTATGTTTTTGGTATGCTCCTTTTTTGTACAGATACAAACAGAATTAGAAACACAATAAGATATAAGAAAACAATATAAGAAAACAAATTAAATTTGGTTTATAATTTGCCTATAAGTACAATTTATATGAATTAGAAAGTTGATACTGGTGAGTTATGAAAATTACTTCTTAAAATGAAGCCTACCTTTTTGCAGTGCAAAATATTTTTTCTTCCTTTCCATTTTTAAATTTAGAGGTGAACAGTACTCTGAATTATTCCCCTATGATACTGGTCCTTCAGAATATTTTTAGGGTTTGAGATGGAATGCTCAATGGCTTCAGGGTTTTAGCAATGCCTTCCAAAAATTATAAACCAAATTTGATATTTCATGTTACTTGTATACTATCTCTACCACTTACCTTCATATGCCATTCATTATGGGACAAGGGCAACAACTTGAATATACCCAGAGTGACTTGTACTTCTAGATATTCAGGGAGAAAAAAACCATAAATTTAATTTGTTTTCTTATGTCTTATTGTGTTTCTAATTCTGTTATATCTTAGTGTTTGTTTTAGCAAAAGAAAGAAATTAGCACCATAGCTAGCAGTGTATTTCTATCCAGGCTTTGACATTTATTAGCTGTAGAACTGAACTAGTTATTTAATCTCTCAGCCTCAGTTTCCTCATCCGCAAAATTGGCCCAATAATACTTTATCTTCCCAGTCTTTTATAATGCTCAACTCTAGCAGAAATTAGTTTAATTTCTTAAATTAATTTCTTAAAATGTGCATATGCATACATGCAGCTTTTATATTGTCTTGTGTACCTTTGAATGGATATTAATATTTTCTGATGGTTTGATTGTTGTAAACAAACTCACATGATTTGGAATTCCCCCTCCCCCCACCATTTTTCTTCCATTTTATTAAACTCAGTTTTTATTATTTCATTTATTTTAGCTGGAGTGACAGCAGAATCCATTCAGACCGCAACTGCCAGTCCAGATGCCTTGGGGACTGAAACTAAAGTCCAAGAAGAAGAGCATGATCTTGTTGATGATGACATCACAGCAGGTATTTGTGACAGTGCTATAATCTTTATCAAGATATGCACGGTTCTTTTTAAAAAATCATCTCATTCTTCAGAATGAGAGGAATTATAATTTTCTAAGTAAGAGCTCATCTAGTTCTCTTATGATGTACACAGATAGAAAGGGAGAATACAAGATGAGTCAATTAGATGATTAGGTATTTAGCACTGGAAGTTTAGGACCTTAGAAGTACAGGGTAAGTATGGAATAAGCAATTTCTTTCAAAATCTGACAAGTTAGACAAGATGAACATACAGAGTCAGTTCAAGTTCAGTAAAATGTCATTATAAACACAAGTAAAATCATTGTCTGGATGAACTGTGAGGCACTTTCTGGCTCTAAAATGTTATGAGTGTGTGTGTGTGTATGTGTGTGCCCACATTTATCTCTCTTTGACATAGAAAACTTAAGATACCTTTGTTGAGATAGCATTCTAGTGAATTTCTAGTATACATGGTAGAAGAAGGCTATATTCATGAGTTCAGAAGAGCTGTAAAGGAATTGTGCTGATGCATTTTCAGAGTGGTTGATGGTAAGTGGGAAAAATAATAGTCCTGTTTGGGGGTAAGTGGATTTTCTCAGTGTTTCACCCTTGTGTCTCCTCTGCCTTCTCCCATCCCTTCCAGCTTCTTGCCAGTCACTTTTTTCTTACTTCGCTATTCATTTTGTAGCCATTAGGAGTTTCATGGAAGTCATCTTAGGCCATTCCCTAAAAACTGTGAGTTATGTAAAGGCTATAGGAAGACTTCAAACAATAATGGAATTATATGAATTTGGGATTCCTTAGGGTAAGGAAGAATGAAAAACACTCATTCTTAAACAAGCATAATAGAATTGGTTGTGGCTTAGTAGAAGATAGCACAGATAGTGAAGTTGTAATTAGTTGATAGAGAGCCATTAAGGTCTTAGTTTTCTAAAGGCCAGTGGGAGAGCTAGATATAGTTGAAATCCTGACATAGACGATGATGTTGGTGCTATGAGGCTAAAGGTGGAGAAGTCAGTAAGAAGTTATAGTGTAAGTTGTTGTTATTGTTTAGTCGTTTCAGTCATGTCCAACTCTTCATGACCCCATTTGGGGTTTTCTTGGCAGAGATACTGGAGTAGTGTGCTGTTTCCTTCTCCAGCTCATTTTACAGATGAGGAACTGAGGATAAAGTGACTTACCTAGGGTCACAAAGCTAGTATGTGTCTAAGGCCAGATTTGAACTCAGGAAGATGAGTCTTCCTGACTTCAGGCCCAGCACTCTATGCACTGTACCACCTAGCTGCCCTGTAGTAGTGTAGGTACCATATTGGAAAGGCATACACACATGTATAATATGTATTGGAGAAAGAAATTGTGGGGCTTGATGCATGCCTTTCACCTCACTTCACTCTAATTATAAAAGGTTACTTTGGGTAATGATATCTAGCTCCTATGGGATTGAAGTATTGAGTAGCCAAAAAAAAGAAGGATAGGTAAAATGAAAACCACTGAGGAATTGCATTCCACTTTCTGAAACTGACTGTGATGGCAACATCTAGTCTAACTTCAAGTCTAACTCAGAAGGACTTTTTGATGGTGGTATTTATTTTCTTTATGACTGCCCCTGATATTGTATCATGTAGCTTGAAAAGTTTCATCATTATTACTTAATGTTAAATAGCAAGATAGTATTCGTTGCTTACTATTTTTTCCACCATCAGAGGTATAGTTTGTTTTAATTCAGCTCTAGGCACGGCATGTATGGAAGTTATCTGATAGTGGTTGTATAGACAGCAATAGTGTGGTGAACTGAATTGATGTGATCACAGGTAAAAAAGGAAGCAGAAATGCTTTAAGGATACTTTCACAAAACTGTATAATCTAGGAAACTACATCAGATAACACTATATATATAATGTGATGAAGCTAGGGAAGTTTTTTTTTTTTTTTTTTTTTTTTAGAATGATGGTGTCATTTTGAAACCATCAGGCAAAAATAGCTGCACCACAAATAGCAATGTGCTCTAGGCACAATAGCTTTATTGGCAAACCAACGTCCAATCTACATTTACTTAATAGAGAAATGACTAATGACTAGTGTTGATCATGCTATTCTCCAGCAAAATCTTTGAGTGCTTAAAGCAGTGGAGTTACATGATACAAACATTCTGTTTAGTCTGGAAAGATTTATAAACATTTTTGTGGAAACTTAAAAAAAAGTATATCTAGCAATATAAGCAAGATTCAATGATGTTAAACAGTCTTATAAAACAATCATTAGTTTCGTAGAAATAAATAATTTAAAAATGAAATATGTGACTTGGCATTATGTACACAGTAAAATTTAAGATAGTCAACAAGCATTTATTAAGTGCTTACTTGTATGCTGGTTATTGTACTGACAATGGGGGCACAAAGAAAGGCAAAAAAACATCTGTGGCCTCAAGTAGCTACAAACTAAATGAAGATTATTATCACTTTTAAGATTAAAAAACACTCTCATTTATGAGCTGGCAGTGTTGAAATTTACATCTAAAAGTAAAATTGTAATCTAAGTAGTTCACTGTGTAATTAGCTATGTGTATATATAACATACACATACAAATATAACCAGTAGTTAATGGCAAAATGTAACCTGTTGAGTCATCTGTTCTTATCTTTTTGTAATTCATTATTATCTTAGTTCAGCTGAGCACCTTCTAACAACCTTTACCACCTGAATGGATTTTAAATTTTTCCATTGGGAATAGAGTTGAAGGAACCTAATGATCTCCCTAGACAATTGCAAACCCAAAGCCTGATTCATTAGAGAGCTTTAATACTTGAGCCACATACAGTACATGTAGAGTTAGTTTCCTAACTTGGGATGGCTCTTTTTTTAGCCATATTTACACATTTTGCAAGTTAAGAGTGAGGATAGTTTGTGTGTTGTGATAACTATAGATTTTTTGCTTCTTACATTAACTTTAAAACGTTTAGATATTGTAATCATTTGGTGGAAAATGGTTTAATTCCAAAGTAAATAGAAACTTTTCAGAAATTTTAACAATTAATGAAAACTATTTAGCTGTTTGTATTTATGGAATTGAAGTGGTTACTAAATAAAATTAATCTTTTTTTAGTTTACAGTACTTAGATGACTTTTGCATGTCTTAATTACCTCTACTTCCTTGCTTCTTAATCTAATAAATGTTTTATGAAAATCTTATTTCACTTCATAAAAACAGGGGTTAATTAAAAAGATATTTGGGTTAGAGTAGAGCAATTTATTTTGATTTGAGTTTTAAAAAAAATTAGTGCCAAAACACAATAGACACGTAAAAGTTTGGGAATATACTTTATTAGAGCTACTTTATTATTTTATTAGAGCTGTTATCCTATATCATCACATTTTTTATTTTAATAATAACAAAGCCAAGAATCTAAAAAGGAATCTGTTTTGGGAAAGCTATTTTATTTTAAAATATACATCATGTAAGTCCTTAAGAAAATAAATCAAACATGTGAAAAATATGTCATTTGGCTTTCTTTAATTGATTTGTTCTTTTCATGCCAGTTTACATAATGAGTACTAGAGTCGAGAATGTTCAATATCCAAAGAATTTAAATAACTAAAAGAGACTCCTTAACATATTGTCAAAGTAACTCATATGCTGTAGTCTACAGATGGTTCACGTTGTCGTTAGATTGTGTGACGTGATTGAGCTGTGTATAGATTTTTGTGATGGTTTGAAAGAAAACCATATTTCTTTTTATTGACTGGAAGCCTATATAAATTACATTATGAAAAATACAGTGGCCACAATGTTAGGAAATGATATGAGACATAATAATCTTATTTTGGGGCCTGCTGTGTTGTTTTGCACTGAAACTTTTAGGGAAAATGGGCAATGATAGCCCATTCTTCCCCTTTTGGGGAAAATTTATTCCATTGTCTCATTTGTCACATAAGAATGGAACTATTAATTTTTCTTTATAAAGTATACAAGAAGTGATATTGTCATAGTGGTTTTAACTATTTTGTTATATGGTTATGAAATTCTAACCTGAAATGGTTTTTAGGATAATCTGCCCTATTGTTTTAATCTCATCATTGTAATTTGACATTTTAATTTTAGTTTTGTCAAGTTATTTAATTTTTAAATGCAGTTTTTTTTGTACTATATTAAAGGCAGAATAGCCAGTTAAAAGAAAAAACCCATACACCTTTTTTTAAAAAGATATAAGTGAGTATTTGAAATGCAAATATTGCCTTCTGAAATGCTATATGGGATAACCAGAATCTGAGCTTTAAGCCTTTCCTTACTAAATGATTTTATGACAGTAGAGAAACATAGATAATGTTGTGTAAATGTAGTCTAAGATCAATTGGATCCAATTAAATTTATTTGAAATGAATAGTCTTAACTGAAGAGAACAGCTGGAAAACTGGAGGAAGAAAAAATTGAGTCTTGAGTGAGGCAGTTTAAATCCTCACCTTGTCATTTAAAAAATATGATACAGCTTTTTTTCTATATATCTCTTTTTAAAGCTAATATCTATTGATCGGCTCAACAAAGCAATGCCAATGTGCGTTGGTCAACAGAAATTTCTTCTAACTCAAGGTTCACCAAACTTTTTTATTTAGTTGCATTTTAAAAAAAAATAAATGATCACTTTCACACCAATACTTTTTGGAATTAATATATTCTACTTGGTATAGATACAAAATGTTGAATGTTCATACAGAATACAAAGATGCAAAATGTTTCTGTTTTAGGAAAACATTTTTTCTTATACTATATAGCAATACTTGACACACTTTCTGTCTTAATGGAATTACTTCAGGTATTGTCATCTCTTTAAAAAATTGCGTTTTTACAGTAAATGGCCTTCACAGTAATAGAATAGATAGGAATAGAAAGATAGAATTCTTTCTGTTTTATTGTTTTTGCTATTCAACTACTCTTTTTGTTTTTCTGAGTTTTTAGTTTGGTTTGCATGTATCCTTTTTATTTACTTTTTAGTCTCATTCAAACT